AAATAAGTTGCGAATGAAATAATGCCGAAGCCGAAGAAGAAATAAACCTGCTGGCAATGTTGTTGGTGTTGGTATTGTTGCTGTCGTTGCTGCTTGCATGTGCAACATTCGCCACTGAAGCAGCAGCAACTGATAATAATGGTTGGCATCTATTTGCGGCAGCTGCGCGCCTGCTACGCTGCCGTCGCTCGACACCTGGAATGGGGCATAAATTTTCGGGATAACCGAAGTGCCAAATGTGCGGGACATGTTGAGAAGCCATGAAGGGGCAACTTGCAACGCTGCCACTCGCTGTGATGTGCACTTTTTGGGGTGCAGCCCTTAAGGGCGGTTATTGATGCGTTTGTGAGCTCGTAAAAGGGATGTTTTACATGATGCTTATATCCTTTGCAGACATATATCCTCAGAGGGTTAAACGGCTCTGAGGAGTGGGTGATGAGCCTGAATAGCCAGCCGGGCCATCAAGCTGAAGCTCTCAAGCTCTGTGCCCAGCAATGTGAGAGACCAAAGAGCAACAACATCGACTGAAGCAGCAACATCAGCGGTCAACGTGGAACCTGTTTTATTTGTTGTTGTTGTTGTTGCTCTTTTTTCGGGGCCCAGCATTGACCTCAACTGAGTCAACAACAAAATATTCCACGAACAACAAGAACAACAACCACAACAACAAGAACGAGCGATGTTGATCGGAAATCGAAATGCAGAACATGGTGCGAAATATTTAATACAAAATGTGGAGACAAACGCCTCAGCTGGAAGAAGAGTTGCTGGCTCCTGTACACTCAAAAAAAAAAGGTGATACAATTAATCAACAATCCATGTATAAAGAGCTCAGGTAAAGCATCGCAGAATCTTCCTCTTCAGCTCATAGAAACCTGGCTATAAAGCGAAACTTTTAAGATCAATGTTTGTGCACTATTTCCTATCCAGCTAAATGCATTCCAGTTTACCAATGTTTTTTTTATGTAGCCTTGAACTTTTCGTAAGAATTATCTCTATTTCTATATACCTTAGGAACACATTCCTATCAGGTAAACTAATTACGGGCTTTTGTTTTCGAAGCGACAATCATAAACACATAATGATCGAATCACGAAAATATTTCTTCACTTACTCTATAATCAAACCGGTTCCTATATCCGAAATTAATCATTTCTTTGCTTTTTGAATATACGAGTAAAGTATAGTTTTGTTCTTTTGTTTTAATCACATATATTTTTGAGTTATCCTTTCAGCTTAATTGAAGTTTGGTCGACCTTGTGGATCTGCTAAGATCAAACTTTAACCATACCGGTTGAAATAACTTTTCTATTCTAACCTTTTTTCTATCGTTTGAAGTTATCGGTTTTTAGTTTTCATTTGAAATAATGAGAAAATATATATTTATGGTTTACTTGAACTTGAACTTGGTATGTTTAGTTGCACAATAAGATTCATGGACATAGTACCAATGCTTTCCAATTCATGATGAGATGAAACAACGTTCATCCATGAGGTCGGAGCAGTAGCTAAAGCTAGTTCTAAATGTCATTTTTAAATCAAATGTATGCTTTACTTAATCGACGAAGCATAAACACAGTACATTTTCCATTTTATTACCATTATTTTCTAACACTTTTATACAAGGTGTGTTCCAAAGTAAACAGGATTTAAAAAAAAAACAGAACAAATGGGTTTTTCGGCAAAATCAATTTATTTTATTCAAAATAGTCTCCTTCTGCTTCAATACAGCTTTTTACACGATCCAAAAGCATGTCGAACGAGTGTTTTAGCTCGTTGGCCGGTCTGGCTGCCAGTATGCCGATGCATTCCTTTTGAATGGCCTCTTCGTCTGCATAACGCTTTCCTTTCATGGGAAAATGCATTTTTCCGAAAAGCTAGCAGTCGCACGGTGCCATACCAGGTGAATACGGCGAGTGGTTAATGGTTAAAATGTGATTTTTGGTCAAATAATCGGTCACAAGCGTCCTGAGCTATTTTTGGTCGTCAGTCACTCCTTTCGTAAGCCCAAATGTTCGGTCAAAATGCGATAAATCGATGTTTTGGGTGGGATGTTCAATTCCATTTCCATCAATTTCAATGATGATTTCGGCTGATTTTTGATGAATTCACGCACAGTTTCGGTGGAATTTTCGGTGATCACGAATTTTGATTGATCGTCATTTATGTCCTCACGCCCACTTTGAAAACGTTGAAACCACTCGTGCACTCTGCTACGGGATAGGCAATCATCGCCATAAACTTGTTCCATCAATTGAAACGTTTCGGTAAAAGTTTTACCAATTTTAAAACAAAATTGAATGTCGGCTCTTTGTTCGAACTTCGAAGCTCATTTTCGCACCGATAACACAAACAAACTGACACTTAAAACGCAATAACTTCACTTCCAATCGATGAAATGTCATGAAATTCTCACTGGACAATCGATAAAGATAGCAGATTCTAACGACATATAAATAGCGCCACTAGGGGGCGCTAGATTCAAAAAGTCCTGTTTACTTTCGAACGCACCTTGTATATGGTATGGTCTAGACGATTTTTGTGACACCCGAGTATAATTCTATATATTGTATTTTTGAAATGTTGTTCGGTTAGTCTGCCAAATATTTGTCAGTGTAGTTACTGCAGCAGTAGCTGCAACGCTTTTGAATCGTTCGTTTGAGCGCGATAGCATGAAAACCTGTTTCCAATGCCCAGCGATTGCTGCGTGCCGCTTGAGCTGCTTGAATGGCTTGTTGAAAAAACACCAAACAACAGCAATAGCAACAGCAACAACAACAACAACTGAAGCAAAATATTCCACCTACATTTTGGGCAAAGCCGTTCAAGTTAAGCTGCTCGAGTGTGGCTCAAAAAACGGAGTTATCTGCGGCTTAATTGGGTCATTCACACGCGCCACTTGCTCGTCAAATACTTGGGAGCTAGCGTCAAGCAACCTACATGGCAGCCAATACTCTCTCGCATGCCTACCAACTAACAACAATAGCAACTACAACAACTTCCGGTGCGACGATATTGCAAGACGAAGACGATAATGAGTAAAGAGCAAGAGATAGGAGTACGAATACATAAAGATGTGTGTATATATGTAGTTATAGGCGACGTTACCGGTCGTGTAGTATGTTTGGTTAGACTTGTTCGGGCAGACAAATCTTTAACAGCAAAAGTTGACAATGAAACAAACAAAAAAAAAATACAAAAATAAAAAGAAAACACTCGCACATAAAAACTTGTCTCTCGGGAATGTGCGCGAAGGCACGCGAAAGTCAAAGAAACTCAAGAGAGCATAAGGGAGAGGGAACGGAGAGAGCGCATTGTTATTATGAGTGTTTTATGTTGCAAGGATCGCCAAAATTAGACAGACTGTTAACCTAACAATTTAACATAGCATCCAAAACATTACTCCTTCTATGGGAGAATATACTCTGATATACATACATATACATATGTACACAGGTACTCTCTTCTCTGCCGCTAAGACCATGGACATTGCATGTTAAATCAAATAAAACAGTTATCTAAATAAAATGTTGAAGGCTGTGTGTTACGGGGTATCGCATATAAAGCCATTTAGCACAATTCTGAAGACAACACTGTTAGATTAACATTTTCTGTTTAAATAAATTACATGCTTTGCGGAGAGATGCTTGTTTCCAGATATTCAAAGGCGAAGTTTAATTATTTATAATAAGGATTTCTCATAGATCAAACAATTATCGATAAGCCGTAAAATGTTCCTCTCTAATTTTATCAAAATGTTGAATGATCTAATGAGCAAAATAAATAATGTGGATTCTTTTAAATATGTAAAATTTCGTTGCATTTAAAAACAACTAAAAATGAAGAACGTAATCGAATTAGTAAAGTGCGACCGTTTAAGGTAAAGACTATAGAGTAGGAAGGAAATAATTACTCACATAAAAGGATTGCTTGAACAAAAAGTATATCTGACTTATTTAATAATGAACTCAACTTATGTGATGATCGAATTATATATATATATAACGCCCTATTGGCCAGGGTACAATAAAACATAACACAACCAGCAAAGTCAACGGCAACCATACAAGCAACAACAGCAACAAAAGACAAATAAAACGAAAAAAAAAAAAACTAAACCGACAACTTTTAGAGCGTCGGGGCAGCAAGAAAACGAATTCGAGCCATAGCTGAGACTGAAACCGAGGCTGAGGCAGAAGCTGAGCCAAATGCTGAGTGTTAGGCAGAGGGCAGGCGGCGGGCAAAGGCAGACACAAAGTACATCCATCATGTTGTTTGTGTGCGTTGCCGTTGCTGTTGCAGCAGCAGCAGCGGCAGCAATAGCAACAACAACAACAGTAGCGCGTGGCTAGGGGTAGGGAAAGGCAGGGCAGGCAGGCACACATCTGAGCATAGCTAAAGGGAACTCTTTATGTACATATGTATGTATGTATGTACTACGTATATATGTTTGTATGTAGATACTATACAAGTAGAAAAACCTAAGCCTAGACAACAGCATTCCCAAGACGGACAAACTGCAGCAACAACGACGATGATGACGATGACGACAATAGCCACGGCAGCAGCAGCAGCAACAACGGCAAATTTCGCAATGTGGAGCTGCTGCTGCCTTCGATTTGCTTTGAAAATAATTTTGGTAATTACAGATTTGTTGGTGGTGCTTTTATTTGGCTGTTGTTATTGCCCCGTTCGACATGGAACTGGTCTGGGGCGAGTAGTCGTCGTCGTCGTTGACGTCGTTTTCGATTGATCGATCTATTTTTAGTTATACTATGTACGTATTGGACATACATATACATATCTATATACAAGTATGTACAGACATACACAATATATAAAAAGTTTAGCCAACTGAGCTTTTCGCTAAGCTTGTTAAGCTCCCAAATACAAATACCAATATCAATCACATTATGGTTCTAATTGTGACAATAATCGAGGCCTTATCATCAGCATTAAGAGTGTTTTAGCATAATTAGCAAAGATCTTTCTACACTCACCATTTATTTAAGGAAAACTGCTGCTCGCCAGTTTCCAGACGCTGCACACACACACACACACACTCAAATTGTTTGCGTTTTGATAATCCAATTTGATTTTTTCATTAGCTACATATTTTTATAATCGGCCACTTTTGCTTTGTTTGATTTGTATGTTTTGATTTCATTAAATTAGCGGCGTACGAAAAAAAACACACTCTAAACACACATAAAAATTTATTAGGTTGCGCCTGGCAAGCAACAAAAACAACAACAGCAATCGACACGCACACGCATACGAACACACACAATAGAAAGGCATGCATAGAGAGAGCGCATGAAAATCAAAACAAAACACGGCAAAAACACACAGAGAGAGAGAAAGAGAGAGAGAGAGAGCATAGGTGAGAGAGCGAACGTTAGGAAATCAGAAGCGGTGATCTCTGTGCCTTGCTGTTGTTGTTGCTGCTGCTGCTTTTGATTTGTGGCTGGCTTTTTGTTTTGGCTTTTGGCTGCAACATGTTGCATACACCGATAAATAATGGCTAACGGTAAATGTAATTACACACACACGCATACGGATACTAAACGCCTTTATATCAAACTATTCACTTATAAGCCAAGGCCACGCTTGCACACGCAGTTGTTTTATTTGGTTTTTGTTGTTGTTAAAATATTAGCATACAAGTTGCTGTTTGAGATTGCACTTTGTGGCACACACCCACACACACACACGCACATATATATAATCCTTAGAAGAAGAGCGCGGGCGTCGAAGCTACTTGTGCCATAACTCACGTTTATTTAATTAAACATACATTTAATTCACTATTAATTCCAGATTGATTTTAATTTGCAGTCGATGAGCTGCCGCCAAACGAACGTAAATGTACACAGAAGAAACTGAAAAAACGGCGACGCGCAAAATTCGTGCGCACAGCAAAGGAAAAAAAGCGGTACTGAGCAGCATACAATGAGAGAGTGAGAGGGCGCGCATCAGTGCTGCAATCAAAAGCCGGCAAAATGTACTGATAAAATCCCAAACGCGTGTCTTCTGCTGGACAGCTGCGGCAGCTGTTTCTATCACGGTGCAAACAGTTGGCAGCACTTCAATCCCGCGCCGCTGGGGACACTAAGATTTCTTAATAAAGGTCCGTAATATTTTGGTATTATTTTTAAGGTCTAGTAAGGTTTCGAAGAGTAGCGCATTAAATCGAATTAAATTTAATTTTATAGATATGATAGGCATGATTTCGTTTTTTATCGCCAACGTTGACTAATATTGTTTTTTTCTCTTTTAAACTTACAAAAATCAGCTTAGGAAAATGTAAAATGTATTTTTTTATTTTTTATTTATTTTATTGCAAACTACGAATTTCTCATTTAGTTTATTCAAAATTAAATTTTAAACGGCAATTACGAATACGCTTTACGCGCGTATCGCAAGCGAATCGCGTGCATACAATATGTAATAGAATCGATTCATCGTTCTCGAAATATCGATATTTCCTTACATCCCTAATACACTATCGAGATTGTATTTCGTCGTTGCACTGCTGTAATGTTTTTATTTGTTTTCATCGTATGTTATCATGTCTAACGACAATGCGTGGCCCGCTGATGATGACCTGGATTTGGCATTGGCCCTAAACGATAATGCGGCACTGCAGGAGCTTCTCGATCGGCCACATCAACAGGCACAAAAACCTCAGCAGCAACAAGAACAACAATATGCCGGATTTGATGAAACCGCAGGTGATACCTGGATATATCCCAGTAATTTACCAATGCGTTGCTATCAACACAACATTTCACAAGCCGCCCTCTTTCGGAACACCCTGGTGGTGCTGCCCACGGGACTGGGCAAGACGTTTATAGCGGCCGTGGTCATGTACAATTTGTATCGTTGGTACCCTCGTGGGAAGATCATCTTCATGGCGCCCACACGCCCCTTAGTCTCACAACAAATCAATGCCTGCCAGAAGATAATGCCGCTTCCTCCGGAGGACACGGTGGAGTTGACGGGCAAGCTGCCGAGGGCAAAACGCGCTGAACTCTGGGCCAACAAGCGGGTATTCTTTGCGACACCACAGGTGGTGCAGTCCGACATGCTGGACTCGGGCGAAAATGATGTGCAGTTTCCGTTTGGGGCTATAAAACTGCTAGTTGTGGACGAGGCGCACAGAGCGAAGGGACGTTACGCGTATACACAAGTAGCTGAATCCATATTTGCACGCAATCCTTACTTCCGAGTCCTGGCACTGTCCGCAACACCGGGACGCACCATAGACGATGTGGCTGCTGTGTGCCGCAATCTATTTATTTCGCATCTGGAGGTGCGCTCGGATAACTCCATCGATGTTGTCCAGTATGTGCATCAGCGCAGTTTCCGCACCATAATCGTGCCTCTGAGTGAGCAGCTGAAGGAGCTGCGCCAGCGCATGATCCAGATCATTGACCCTTATCTGCGACAGCTTGTGGCCTCGGATGTGCTAAGTGGTTCGCACTCCAATTTCAATCGCAACTTTCTGCTGTTTGAGCAAAAGCGGTTTCAGGAGCGTGCCGCCAATGGTCAACGTCATCCCGAGCACAGCCTGATCGCTGGCACCTTCTCCATGTGTATTAGTCTGTATCATGCTCTGGAGCTGCTCGAGAAGCACGGCCTTCGCGTATTCGTCAATAGTTTTGATGCGGATGAGGATGGACGGGACAAGTTTGTGCTGGTACGGGATGCAGGGTTACGTGAACTTGTCGACGCGCAGCGCCAGCAATTGGGCCCGAATCCCTTCGATGTGTCAACAGCAACCATGACTAATGGCCAAATGGCGCCAATGCCATCCCAGTTAGACTTTGGACATCCCAAATATGAGCGGGCGCGTCAAGTATTGCTCGAATATTTTCAGGTAAGAGTTCATGTGCAAGATAATGCTCAGAAAATAGCTGGGTTTTAGTTTAAAAGTTTAGTTTTTACCGATTTTGTTTATCGGTAAAGAAATTGGAATTAAAATTTATATCTATCTGCATATGTATATACTTGTACATATACATATATGAATGAAAATGTGGAAAGGTAAATATAATAGAATTTTTTTAAAAACATATACTATATATATACAGAGGGTTTAAGAGTTTTAGAGTTCAAGAGTTTTTACAAATATTACGCTTATTATATTTATTGTTATAGCATTTTAGTATACTTGGCTATATTGGTTTGGTTTTTAAACTAATAAGAATGAGAAATTAATTATGTATTAAATGTTGTGAAGGCTATTAGTTGTGAGGCTGGTTAGTGTTTGTGAGTTTGATAAATATCTGCAGATATCTCATGACAGCGTTCTGGAAAATTTGCTTTTAAATAATTCATCAATTAATAATTTCTTTAATGTATTTCTTTAATGTGTTCGTAAAAATTGTCATAGAAGAGCTTGAGCTGTCTGCTAATGCGGTCTCTTCATTTAGCCATCTATTATTCTATGGAAGGCACAGCTTAATTGTGGGAAGAGTATTCAAGCTTTAGCTAAAAGAGATACGTTTAATAATTAGGTGTTTCCAAAGTTTGGAAACGACCATACAAAGCAGAAAGAGAGTGCCAGAGGAAAAAACTAAATCTGCACCATTGTCCGCTTGCAAATCAATGCCGCAGAGGTGGGTAAAGGTTTTCGAGCACATCACTCGCTCCTTGGGGCATATACATTTGGTGTTATCGTCCGACCGTATAAACTCCGAGGCAATGTCCGTTTGACGCATGGGTGGATAATAGTAGCATACGACAAAAAATCCGTGGAACATTATTGCCCCGGCACAGCCAATAAATTCAGCAGTGGGCCAAATAAGTTGCGTGTAATTCTGCACCCTGCCTTGGGCGTGCGCCTCCAGAAAACCGTCGAAAGTTGGCGATAGCATCCCCAATTCCAGATACCAGTTGCGCACCGTCCGCGCCGTCCAATACGGCTTCGGTGTAGCCTGTCTAACGCTGTCAAAGCATGTGTTCTGATTCACCTTGGATGCGTTTGAGCCGATTACTAGGCAAGTGTCGCGTTGCAATTTACACAGACACAAGTACGACTTGAAATATTAGGGAGAAAAAAATGGAAAGGTGATTTGAAAAACGACTGCCAGGGACACCAAAGCGCATGTTAATCCTTATAGACTACATGCCCTTTGGATAGTTGCACTATTGGCATTCACCTCAGCCATGCTTTGCAGCTGGACATTCCAATACAACAGATTCATATTCGCCACTTTCAGATCCTCGGCCACCTTATTTCGCAATCCATTGTGCGCATTAAGCATTCGTAGGCGTGTTTGTCGGATCATGGGGATGAGACGAAAGCGCTTGCAACGATGCGCTGGCTTTTTTGGATTCTTGTCGCACAAAAAATTCCGTGTACCATCCTGACATTCGGCAGTTTCCGGACATATTGTTGAGGAGCTTCCAAAGTTGTTGTGGTAGGGATTCTTGTTCTCCTCAAGCCGATGTTTGGGAATAAAGCAAATAAGCAGTAAAGCAACGAATAGAATTTTTACCGGGATATACATTTTTCACTTAAATAAACCCGACAACAACCGATCCAATTGGGAAAAAATATTGAAAAACAGCTATGCCTACTACACATATGCTATTTCATTAAATTTTCAACTAAAAGATCTTTTTTTATACCCTGTACCCGTAGGGTAAAAAGGGTATATTAGGTTTGTGCAAAGTATGTAACATACAGAAGGAAGCATCTCCGACCCCATAAAGTATATATATTCTTGATCAGCATGACGAGAGAAATCGATCTAGACATGTCCGTCCGTCTGTCCGTCTGTCCGTCCGTCTGGATGAACGCAAGGATCTCAGAAACTATAAAAGCTGGAATAACCAAAGTTGGCATCCAGATTCTCCTAGGTCCGAGTAAGGACGAGTTCATGTTTTTTTTTAATTCCCCCCCCCCCCCCCCCCCCCCCCCTTCCCCCGCTACAGAATTTCGTCAATAGCGTCCACATTTCAAATGGTTCCTAAACCAAACTTTGCACACATAATTTGTATATAATTGTCTATTGTTGTTCAAAATTTTATTCAATTCGGTCAATTCTAAGAAAAGTTATTAGCAAAACAAATTTTCGCCAGTACAACCCCCACAGCAACAAGTTCGCTCTTCTTCTTCCTCTTTTTGCTGCTGCTATGGGCGCATATAACTCAGTGACGCAAGTTAACCTGGGTACAGGGTATTACACTGTCGGGCTTGCTCGACTGTAGCGTTCTCTCTTGTTTTCTTTTCGGCAGAGCTTGCCGGGCATGCTTAAAATAACTATCTATCTAACTATTGACTATCTTAACGGATGTTAAAAATATTACATACTTATAACAAAAGTTGCTGCCTAAAAAAGTACATTTCAGGACGGATTTAGTTTTAGGATTAAATATGACCCTGTGATGCTTTTAATGCTTTCAATATTCTGCTTAGCAGGAAGATTTTATTTATTGTTTAGTTTAGTTAATCATGGAACATATTTGAGTAACTTCTAACTTAAATATTCAAGTTTCCATCAACATCTGCTCCCTTTGCAGACTAATGCCGAGTCGCGAGCCATTGTATTTTGCGAGTATCGTGAGTCCGTGATGCTGATTCAACGCCTACTCCTGCAACACACGCCACTGCTGCGCCCACGCTGCTTTGTCGGCCAGGGGGGCACCACCGGGGCCATTCGTGCTCTCACCCAGAAACAGCAGATGCAGATTATGAACGATTTCCGCAGCGGTACTAGCAATGTTTTAGTAGCCACCTCCATTGGCGAAGAGGGCATCGATGTGGGCGAGGTGGAGCTCATCGTTTGTTTCGACATATGCACATCGAACCCGACACGTTTTGTGCAGCGCATCGGACGCACGGGGCGCCAGAAACGCGGACACGTTGTCATGCTGGCCACAGAGGGACGGGAAGAGCAAGTTCTGAAAGAGGTGCTGGCTACTCGGGATAAAACCAATCGCAAACTTCTGCAATCCCCGTTGGTAAAACGTGCGCTTTACGACCACTGTCCGCGTCTAGTGCCCACAGAATTCAATCCCAAGTGTGTGCAGAAGTTTATGGAACCACAAAAACAAGCGGACGCAACGCCGCCTAAATCGAAGGCCAAGGAAGCCAAATCTAAGGAGCCCAAGACAAGGAAAGTCAATAAAAAGGCGACCAACGTGAAAAATCATGATCTGCGAAAATTCTTTGTACGAACGGAGCCTCCGTTGCTAGACACACAGGAGCGATTGGTGTTTGAACAGGAGGGCGAAACGCCGCCACAACCTTACGTCATGAGTGAGGCATCACAGCAGCAAATACGAGCGGATTGTGCTCGCCGTAGTGCTGGAAAAATCAAAAACTTTCTGCTGGACACCCAGGCCGCAGAACCGTCCTCGCCACCGCCACCTGCAATTACCAGCAGCAGCCAGCAGGAGGCGCAGCGTCTGCGCAAGTTGAACCGTCTTCTCCAGTCCTCGAAGCCTTTGCTAAACGAGTCGCAGCGTAGCCAGAGCCTTGCCACACAGCTCCAGGACAAGGTGCTGCCGCTCAGTCTCAAAAAGATGCTGCTGCGACACAATCGCCGATATGTGCAAGAGGTGTGCGAAAAAATGCGACTGCAACAGGAGCTTAACCTGCCAAACGAGCGCCTGAATTCACGTCAGCGAAGTACCCGGCGGCAACACGAACAATTACTAGACATCTGTGGCGATGGTGTCGATAATTTGGCGGACCTTCAGCGATCCCCAAGCCCTAAAGCAAATCTAAGAAAGCAAGAACTTGCCGAGCTGCAACATATCGGAGAGAATGCTGACCTTGAAGGAATATTGAATGATATATTTGAGGGACTAGACGAGCAAGGACTATGCGCTGACAACTGTGAGCTTGTGCAGCAACAATTAAATGTGATGGAACGGACAGTGCGGCAACAACAGGACGAGCCACAGTCCAGAGTCTACGATGGCGGCACATTCTCCTTCGAGGAGTTAGAGGAGGGGCTAGGGGAAGAGACTTTGCAAGAGGGTGTCGATAACTCAATGTCTCGCAGTCATTGGCAGGAATTTAAAACAGATGCAGCGCAGCATAAATCAACGCCACTCAAAGCTGATGTCTCCCACAGTCGGATTAAGGTCAACAACAAGTTGGACACTTTAGAGGAGGAAGAGGAGCAAACGACCCGAGTAGAGGCGAGCGAATTGAGCATAAATTTAACTCGTCTCAACAATATCTTATCTGTGGCCACTAGTACGCCGCTAGGCGTTAAAACTAAACCTGTGCAGGAGACTCTTCTCAACGCGCTAGAAACGGATCTGTCTACCTTCGAGCAGCTGGCACTGCAGGTAGAAGCCAAAACAGCGGCCCAAAAGACAAACAATAACAACAACAGTCCCAGCAAAATAATACCAGACCACAAACTGATGGGAACGGCAGAGAAGACGCCTGATTGCCTAGATGTGCTCGACCTAGATCTGGACGACTTTTTGGAGCCTCTGCCCGAAGAGCAAATGCTGCAGGAACAGCGCACACTGAGAGAACCAACACCATCTCCTAGTACGAGCCTCAAAGAGAACTGCAATTTGCATAGCAATCAGCTCCTGCTTTCCCCCGCTCAACGCAATTGCTCGCCCGATCTCTTTGCAGAAGAATCCATGTCACCATGGAAGCCGGCATCGCCAAAACGGCCAGTGCCGAGCAAGAGCTTGGCAGCTAAGCTGGCAGAGAAGACGTCAAAGGTGCCGTCCAGGCAACCCCGTCCAACCACACCCAGTTCACCGGAACAACGTGAACGTCCAAAATTGGGCGGAACGGATAAATCACCCAGCATTTTTGATTTATATCTAAAACGCATGCGCGGCCGCGGTCATTTAGGAAAGGCAGCCAAAGCGGTGCATCTCAGCTCATCCTCAATTGCAAAAGCACAAGAGGTTGCACCTCCGAACAAGGAGCAAGACGATTCCCCCATTATCGCTCGACGTCAGCCTAAACGCAAGATTATTGCTAGCGACTCCGATGAAGAGGTGGCAGAAACGGAGCCTATATCCCTAGCCGATAACAGCAGCGACATGGAGCAGGTGCCAGCCACTCAGATGGTAAGTCTTCGCTCAACACCTGACTATCCGACCTGTAAATACTTTATTCTATATGGGCTATCTTCTTCCACTTGCAGCAAGAGACGCCTCCAGTCCCTCGAAAACGGCGTAAATTCAACTCATTCATAATTAATGAAGCCGAAATGAGCGGCTCCGATCATGATGAAGAGGCGGAGCATACCATAGGGGGCTACATTAAAGATTCTGTGATAGTTTCCAGTGAGGACGACGACGATGGTCACAACGATACAACCTCACATGCCATGTACCTGCAAGCTCTAAGGTAAGTCTGGAATGCTCTTCCTTGAATTTACTTTTCAATTCAACAAAATGTGTTCTTCCGAATTTAGAAGTCCTGTACGACGACCTGGTGCTTTCAAAATACCCGCACGCCGTGTTTATAACGACGAATCGCACATTTATTCGCAACAACGTGAACTGGAGCCATCACAGTACATACCCAGTTCGTTTATTGTAGACGAGGCAGAGACAGACATATCGGCTCGAGAGACGCGGGACGTTTCCGAGTGTCCTCTGGAGCGGGCCGAGCGCATTCTGAAGGAGGAGCGACGCCAAAAGCGTCGTCTAAAACGTTTCGGCTCGCCCCAACCAAGACCCCAGCAGTCCAAGCGTCGTCGCGTGCAACCAATGGCGAACAGTTCAAGCGATGATGACGATATCGGGTTTGTAAGATAACGATCAGCCATATCGGAATAAGACTACTTTGTAAAGTGAACTTGTATTTCTTCTATATAGTATTTTATGTTTATGTTTATTGAGTAATGACATTAAGTTTCTGTTTGTTTAATACTTTGGTCTGTATTCGCTTAACTTCACGCTGAAAAGAAAAAGTGGAAGAATAGGGATGTTGTGTTATAGTGCCATAATAATAAGCTTTTCAATTTAAATTGACAGTTTAAAAGATATTTATGCAATTAAAGTATCAGAACAGAGTTATCTTACCTTAACTCCCATTGGCCGCACCTCTAAACCAAATAACTGCGCATGGGCGTCTGGTAATCACTGGCAATGGGCTTGAATGTCGTATTGTGCCGTTGCTTGTAGAGATCGCGTGGTTGGACGTAAAGCTCCTTAAAGTCTTCGCTGCTCACGTGCCGACTTCCCAGGCACATGCTGCGAACGCCAGCTCCAACATCTCGCAGCTCTACCTCCGGTTCGTAAAGGTTCTCAACTAACACCTGGCGGGACTTGGCACGCTTCCGCAAGTGCTGCGTATCGCTGGCCAATGTGGCCCTTTGGGTCGCAATTCCTGTGCAGCTAAGAATGATGGCAAGCAGCACACAAAACTCCACGAGACCCATCACCAGACTGGCGCCTAAAAACACGCTATACTGCTCACGATACCAACCATCCAGATGGGGCAGACAAGACTCTGTATAGCGCTCCCGCTCGTAGGAGGTACGTTCCAATGACTGGCACTGCGACTCATTCGCTGGTTTGGGATCCAAGTAGGAGAGGCGATCGGGTGCATTCTCCAGCACGCAACAGCTGAGTGGAACCGCCCAGTTCCTTTGTCCGTACTCCTGGAGCCGCCAGAGCGAAGTATCATAATTAATCGCCCCACTCATGCCACAGCAGCCGAAGCGAGTCTGAGCCAAGTCCATGGCATTTGTGAACTGCTCCTGGCCGGGTATTCCATAATTGGCCTGCAGGGCCTTCACCATTTGGGTCTCGTCTAGGCTGATGCCCAGACAGTGGGGCCAGAGTGTGATGGCCAGGCAGACGACCGACTCAGCCAGCAATAGGACCACAACACTCAGAAAGTAGACGCTCAAAAAGCAATACGTGTGCAGGCAACTGGCCCAGAAACCGATCACTGCGGCTAGCACCGCCACAAATCCCGCCACGCACAATCCGAGAGCGATATAATAGAGCAGGGGCTGGGGCAGCGCACTGAGACGCTCACTTGGTGCCGCCAGCAATCTCGAGAGCAGAATGCGTCTGGTATCTGTGTACAAATAACAGCCAGAGACGATGAGCATTGTGCCACAGAGCTGGAACAAATGATTTATAACAGAGATTAGTCGAGACTCAACAGGGAAGATGAACACTATAAGTAAGTCTACAAGCGCCTGAATTAGTGCAAGACTTAAGATATCGCATCTGATGGCGAAGGTTATGAATTATTATACGCTGAACTGATGGACCTAAAGATCTGAATGTATGCTAATGGAAGAAAGACTAGTATACTCGCAATAAATCATCTTTTCGGCAAGTGAATAATACTTTTTATTCCTAACCGGTTTCTATGATACATAGCAATTGAGAAATAAATATGTTTTGCAATTATTTAGCTAATCTATAAACTTTTCGTGGAATTAATGAAAATATTTAAACCTGATTTCGATTACCATCCATCATTAAAGATGAGTATATTTTTGAAATTTAATAAGTTAATAAACTAGAATAGAATAGTTTCTGCAGTTTAAAGAAAACTTTGCTTGTTTTTATATTTTACTTTTGATTTTCAGTTGTGTGGATTCCAAATGGCTTAATATCTGCTGCGACACTTATATCTCTTTAAACTATATTCCCTGAGCTATATACAATATATTTAATATTTTGGGTAGATTTCAGCATCATAGTGAAATATTAACTATTTGTTTGATTCTAAACGGGGAAAATAGCATTAGTAGCAAAAAGTTTGTTTGTGGTATTTATATGAAACTTTTTATGTAAATCTTGGATCTTTTATTTAAGATCTGCCCTGGGTTGGACAATTATTAAATTTTATGATAACTAAGACAATTTTTAACAATGCTCCTGTCAAGGCGGTTGCGATTTGAACCTAGGGCTAATCAACAAATGAACTCACTTTGAATTGAAATACCTGTGCCTATTAATATTCAATTGAAAATATTTGGGGGCACTGATCCATTTTCAAAAAGTGCTCAGAACCTTAATATTAGTTTGCTTGCCAAACCTTAAACCTAGAATCTCAGATGAAATGCATTGATAAAAATCATGTGTGAGATAGAGAAAAGAGCGAATAGGTTCTCTCTTTTCAACAAGAGTTAAGTCAATTGTGTTTGAGGAATAAAGAGAAGCGTAAAGAAAGAGCCTACCAAAAAGTTTTAGTTTTATTTTAAATTTTTTTTACACGCAACGGAAGCGCGCGAAGACAACGCCATTGCCTGTCAGTTAATTGCAGGGCTAGTCTGATGGCTAACTACCTTGTTCATAGTTAAGCACTTGGATTACCCGTTTGGCGTTAAAGCACTTGCCAGACTTGATGGTGACTCCAACAGAGTCCCCCCCTCCATCTATCCTACCAGTCAAATGTTTGGAAGCAACAGAGCAGAACAACAAAATACAGACATAATATGTAGGTACGAGTACATTAAACAAAAAGTACGCCAAAAAATGTAACGCTCGTAGCTAACAACAACAACAACAACATTGGCAGCAAAGGCAAATGGACTCTTACAAAAATAATTTGTATGAGCCCAGTTGTAGGGCATCACCAGATTTCACCCAACTTCTCGTATGTGTATTAGTTCTATTCCGATGTTTTTGTGGTTTTATTTCTTTTGTTCAGTCGTCACTTACCAAAAACAATAAATTACAAAAGTTGAGCACCAATTTGTGATTGAAGCAACGCGCCATTTTATTGTTGTAGGTGGTGGTCCGCTGTGGATCTTAAATGAATTTGAACTTAATTAAACGCTCAATTATGAAATAATCCAATAATTGTGGCATGAGCAACTGTCGATGGAAATTGTCACTTAGACGGGCTGTGCGTGTTACATAGCAGCGGTCAAAACCTTCAAAAAGTTTTGAAAAAATGTTAAAACTCTACGATTGGGTTGAATGGCTTCACCACCTATGTACTCGTATGCGAACGTTGCGCGTCGTTTGGCTGAAAAACAAAAACTAAAAACGCAGCAATGGATCTGCTGCCTCAAACTGTGGCAAGTTCACAACAACTGAGGGTAGCAGCCGCCAGAGGCAGAGCGCAGCAATAACTCTTTGCCTTTACAAGTATGTTGTGCTTTGCGATCAGTGTTCAGAGCCGCAGTTTTAAGCTTGGCTTTCTCTCTCTCCCTGTCTCTCACTCTCCATTGTAGGCGCGCTCACGCCCGTACGCAATCAAATGGAACGGCTTGTAAACAAAAGACCAACACCACGCAGCAACAACTTGTTGTTGTGACTGAAATGTTGGTTGCATGCCATTGCAACAAACTTGTTCAGCCGGCGCTTATCTCGTTTGTTTACTTAGAACATTGCGTGAGCACGAAAGTAGTGGGGAGTGGGAGCCCAGAGAGAGAGAGAGAGAGAGAGAGAGAGTGAGCGAGTGTGGGGAATAGAATGCTGGGGTGCAGCTGTTGCTGTCAATTTAGCCATTTTTCCACCAGTTTTGTGGCTAGCGGGAATTCTAGCATTGTTTGAAGCAACTACCACACCAATATTGCAGCTAATTTTGAGCATTGCCTGTAAAGATGGAGATGGTCGATACTTCAATCGAAAGGTATTGAAACACACTTTCACAATTTATATTCATAACGAGATTAATCGAGGTTTGAAGGACTTTTTTCAAAACCTTTGTAGTGGGAGCATACATTTTTATTTGAGTCTCCGTTTATATTTTTTTAAGCGAATTAATTTAGAAAATGTTCACTTTCGTCACAAATTCATATCAAAAATTAAGTGAGTTGTAGTCTTACTTTCTCACCTCATTATATTGATTAATATTAATTAGTATCTGACCCAGCAATTATTTGCTTTTTGGTCATTTTTGTTAGAATTTTGTTAGACCACTACTGTCAATGGTTTAAATGATTTAAAAATCTTAGAAGAATAGCTAAAACTTATTCTAAAAGACTGCAAACATTTTTAATTAATTTTTTTTTAATTGACAAAAAAATTTAGTTTTTTTAATTTTATTTTTATTTTATTAAATATTATCTTTAACTATTAATTATTTAATTTTACAAAAAATATGTTTTGTAATGAGTCCGTTTAAATGATTTAAAAATCTTAGAAGAATAGCTAAAACTTATTCTAAAAGACTGCAAACATTTTTAATTAATTTTTTTTTTAATTGACAAAAAATTTTAGTTTTTTTAATTTTATTTTTATTTTATTAAATATTATCTTTAACTATTAATTATTTAATTTTACAAAAAATATGTTTTGTAATGAGTCCGGCGTAAGGTTGCACCTTAGACCCGATAACACCAATTTAAGGGCAGAAAATGCCCATTCGACACTCACTGGCATTGAATATAATTCTGCCTGTTACATACATTCGCATTTGTGATTTTTAAAATAATTAATTGATAAATTAATTAGTTAGTTAATTAAAAATGTTCCCCTTGACTCACTGATTATGGATATATATAAATTTTGTCCTTAATCTTTATGAAACAGACAAAATTTCAGCATGAGTTTTATTTTTGATTTTTGAAAAAATAAAACTCAAAGAATAATCATTATTTTATAAGTTTTATTTTTTTCCTCATCAATAATGATTATTGGTTAATTTTTAAAGTAAAACTCAAAATTAATCATTAAATTGTGAGCGAATGAATACAAATTAAAATTTATAAATCATGGTGAAAATACATACATAGATAATCCTTAAAAAGGATGTCAGTAAATTCCTCGCTTTCCAAAAGTTACTATAAGTGAATGATTTTTTCGTTTAAAAAAAACAAAATAATCATTATTTGCGGTCCCTGGTTTGAACATCTCCGTTGCCTTGCTTTTTATCGGCCTTACAATTTGTATAGCTTTTTCAATCGCTGATCTAGCCGTTTCTATGCCTAATAAGCAGCACTGGACTTAGCATCGGGTGTTCTAATTGATTTTGCTGGCATTTGAAATTCGTAAAAGAGTGACCGCTGGCTCTGCTCTGCGCTCTGTTTATATTGTGGTCCCCTCACTCTTTTCGTTCCTCTGCACCCGTGGAGTGTGGATTGCCTGCCTGGCAGTTTACCGTTTGCTCCACATGGCGCTCGCATTTCCGCTGCTGCTGCGCAATAAGTAGCGGCTGCGCATAATCATGCATTATTTCACATTTATTTTTGGGGTCAAAGCTGGGCAGCAATTATGTTTTATGTTGAGAGTTTGGGGCGAGTGTGGGTGGCAATTAAGTGCATCCCATGCAGAAGAGACACTGAATGCATGAATACTTACGACTACATTCGAGTTCTTATCAGCTTATGTGAGTGCATGCATCGGCAGGGCGTGCTGGGGTTAAGAGGTGCCCTCAGAGTCAATGAACTCAAGTGGTATCTGTGCAGGGAGAGCGGCAACTTTATGTGCGAGCAACATTGACAATATTCGACATGACAGTTGAAAATTAAGCGACTTATTTACCAATCATTCCTATAATTGCTTGTCCCAAGGCTGGGATGTTCCGAAACAAAAAATCTAAATTATAGGTCCTGATTTATGTACATTTGTTGTTCAAACTCTGCTATATGCAAACTAGTATGCAAATATTAAATTCAAAACAGGGCAGATATTACCTAGAAAATAAAATAAACTCTTTTGGCCTAGTGGCTAGGAGACTAGTTTACTCGCACTACAAACAAAATCTGGCCAATATGAACGGACCTAAAGAGATTTGTCTCGTAATGGCAATTGGCAATAGATGGGGTCGGGTACGGGTTTTAAAAAGGATCTTGAGTGCTTCAAAATAACAAAGTCGGATCGCTTTCTTAAAGGATTATTTGAGTTATAGGCTGGTCGTGAAATCTAAAAATCAATCCAACATAAATTTACAAATATACATTTCAAATCGGTTTGCTTGATGTTTAACTTAACTGAATTCTGTTTGGAATAAATTATCTGTCAATATTTTTAATTATATTGAGTGAGAACTTTATTTCATTTCTAGAGCTCTATATGCCTTAACTACTTGTAGCTCTATGTTTTCGCCAAATAGTTTCTTTCTTCTTTTCATACATTACCTTCTTAGTTTTGAAGTATACGCTTTGAAGAGATCGAAAATTAAATTTATGAATCAATTAAAAAACTCCGTTTTATTTCAGTCAATATATCTTGTAGGTTGTACGGTCTGATTACAAATTAAATCAGACATACCAGAAAAGTAACAAAATTGTTCGGCTTGTGTTATTTTTGGACTAAGGCCTTTCCAATAACATAAAGTTCTTTCATATGAACGTATATTAACTAATGTAGCGATTCTTTAAGTAGCTGTATTTGTAAATTGATTGAAATAAATGCCAAAAATAAAAAAAATTGTTTGTACTTAAAATTTGTATAATTTGAAAAGAACCAATTGAATAATATCTATTTGTAACAAACTTTCAATGGCCTGCAAATTATGTAAATATTACAAAAATGTTTCATAAATTTGGAAAAAACTATACGCACTTGATATAAATACATAGGGGAATTTTGCGCAACTTTTTTCCTTTGTATAAATTAATAATGTGTTAACAAAAATCTTATAAAATTATCGATTGTACTAATTATACGATATTTGTTGGGCTCTCGAAAATGGATTAATTGTGACAGACTAAATAATTTTACTTCGCTTTTAGCATAATTCATAGTAGTTGTAGTTTCACTTCACAACTTGAATAGGGTAGGGGAATTGAAGTTCTTTTTGGGCCGCTCGAAAAAAGTGGTAATAAGCAATTCCATAGTTTTTGTTTGTTTGTTTGTTTGTATGACACACGCGTGGCGCCGATTGCAGTGAGCTGCCTGGATACAATGGAAAATGTTGGTGGGTGCAAAAGCCACAAAATCGTGACAATGCCTGCCATTAAAAGTCCAGGGAAGCATTGGAATTGATTGACAATTCAGTGCCAGCAGCACATTTTGGCAAAGACACGCTGCTAGTCATGGTTGAATTAGTCGGCGTCTCCTGCAGTTCTGTAAATAAAACATATCCCAGTTAGTTTCCAATGGAAGAAACTATGCCAAAATGCTTACCTGGAGGCAGATGCAGCTTTTCAATGACGAACTTCTTGCGTCGCAGCTTGAATGCCAAATCTGTGGTCTCTGGCATGTGGGCGGCCAGCGTGTTTAGGGCCGTCATCTTGTGCAGATGCAACAATCCGCTATATTCCTTATAGGCCGGATGCGTTTCACGCTCCGAGCCAGCAAATGACTCCAATTCAATGGCATAATCGACCAGTTGGCGTATTTTGGCAACCAGGGTGCTATCCTGTAATGTAAATAGATTAAAACCCAAATAAGCGACTGATAACGAGAAGAACGTTTAAGTAGTGTTACCCCAACTTTTGTTTACACTGTGCCCAACATTTACCCCGCTTCACCCATTCAACAGAAATAAACTTTGTGTCAACCATTCCTATATATGGCATAGTGATAAGAACAGAAATGCCTACAACATGTGGTCTACCAAAAACAATATACTCTTTCACTTTTATAAGGGTATAAAAACTGTAAATTAGTTTTTGGTTTCGAGAATCAGCCGGATTTTGGGAACAGGGTCCAATTATATATACAGGTATATACTCTGTGAGATACGACATGCATTTTTGTGCCTCTTACAATCAAACATATATATATATATATATACTATACTAGTATGTATACTTTTTGGCGCTGGGTGTAGGAGGTTGTGAGAACTCTCAGAATACTTACGTATTTGGCAATCAGGTGCATGGGCATTGTGATGAAACAGACCGAGGTGCAGCTGCGGATGCTGGCACGCAACACGGTTAGAAACTTGAGCATATCCTCGCCAAAATGGTCGTCGTACCACAGCGGGGACCCGAGCGATGTGAGGCAGACACGGCATAAATTCTTCTGCTGGGTGTTGGTGCCGGGCATGAATCTCTTTTCGTGCAGTAGTTGTTGCATTTCGTTGAACAGGCGTCCATAGCGTTGATTATAAAAGATATGTGGTGGCTGCGTGCTGCTCGCTGGACTGCAGTTGCTCGCTGGCGTTGTGGTCGTAGTGTTGTTGTAGATATTGGCAGTGTTGCTATTGTCCATGTTAGCTGCATTAATGTTGTTGTTGTTGGCAGTGGTATTATCGCCGGCCCCGATGCTCATAACGTCGCCCTCCGGCATGGGTTCAATAGCAGCCGGCTGCTCTCGCTCGAGCGAAACAGACGACGAGCTGCTCTTGGAGCACTCTTCTTGTATGACGATATCCGGCTCCTTATCACTGTCATCCCATACCGTGGTCTGTGCATAGTATAGCTGCATAGTGTCCATGTGCTCCATTAGATTGAAGTGATGCCCAATTTTGGCCGACGCCTGCTCGGAGTTGACCAACGGCAAGTCGCTATAGCGCCAGGCAATGCGCAGGCCATTTTTATCCGCCTGTTGATCAATTGCTTGTTGTTCCTGCTGCTGCTGCAGTTGCTCCACCTCGGCCTCTTCATCGGTAAGTGGCTTGGGCAAGCGACGCAGCATCTCTGCGGGTATGTCGTCCAAGCTGCCCAAAAATATATCCTGTTTGGAGAGCACGCCCTCGGCCAGAAAGTATTTGGCCAATACCTTCGCATGCGTCATAAAGCGATCTTCTTCTGCAATATACATACATATGTATATACACGTGCACGCGTACACACAAACAAACAATAGAATCATACAAACGAGAGCATTACGCAGATTGCAATCAAATTCGAATACTGTGTATGGTCGTCGAGGCCACCCCACCCCCAGACCCGCCACAACCACAACCACACTCACCAATCAAACAAATTGAGCCAATTTGTAGGCCTCCCCCGAGAATCATGTCCAGCGATGGATTGCCACTCGACGTTATCACTTGGGCGGTGTGGGGACTTGTACGTGTCCCCCGTATGGTTATGGGCTTGGTGCGTTTGCGAAAACTCGTCATAGTCGTACCACTTTTCCGCCTGTTCGCGTTACGTTTATCAGCGAATTTCCTTTTGTTTTGTGCCGGCGCCAAAGAATAAGCAGATAGATATGTGTATGAGGAGTGTGAATGGAAGATAAGTGTAAAACGTAATTGAAACGATGCCGGAATCGATAGTTTGTGTCCTAGCGTTGCCACATGCTTGAAAAAACATGTCGTGCATTTACCGTGCGACAAAGTGTTGCCACATTAGTTCAGTTAAAATGTTTGAACAATTGCTCTAAAACTGTAATTAAGTGTTCTGATTACAGTAGCTCGCAAACTATAAATAAAGTACACTTAATTCTATTTTTACACTGCCTTTGTTTTACACGATTTTGAGATAAAACGGTTTGAAAATTAAAAATTGCATATATATTTGTTTAGATATAAGGAACCAATCACCTATTTTTGCATATAATCAATGTCTTTTTTTACACGGTTGTTTCTAGAACCAATCTACCGTGTAAAAACAGAATTAGGTGTACATTTCAGGAGTCGATTTTTCAAATATACATTGCCATATTAAAAATATGAATAAATAAATAACATAGTGATCAAAACATAAAAGGGGACAAAATGGAAAATGTGTATGATTCTACTATTTGCCAAATGGCTCTAAAACTGTTAAAGGATCATTAAAAAGTGTGTAGCACTGCTGGAAATCGATGAAGGACACAACATTTGCTTTCATATGAAAGAAAAAAGGGTGTCCGATATGTTTTCAAGTGGCCATTGTCCATTTCTGGATAACTGATAATGTGGCCTGCGCACATATTGTACATATGTATGTCCTGCCATTGTGCAAACCGACGTAAGTTCATGATTTATGCGACATTGCAGTTCAGTTGAGGGTTGAGTATTTTTGAATATCTGCATTCATGACAGCCGGAACTTTCACATTGAGTTTTCTTTCTTCGACGCAACTGTACCAAAAACGTAGTGAAAAGCGAAAGAAGAGAGGACAGACATTTAGCTAATCGGGGGTCTTTCAGTTCAGCCACGCCCTAGTGAAAGGATAATTACGTTTATTCTTTTGCGCATTACGCTACAACCTTTGGATTTCGCAGCATACACAAGCACTTGCACACGCCTGCTGTCGTTTTAATTATATTATATTATAGAGTCGGCCATCGTTAGCGTAAAGAATCTTCAAAGGATGATACTCGTAGAGGCCGCCGCCTGGTTGAAAGGAAAGTGAGGGAAGAGTAGAGGGCGTCTGCGCATTAGTCAGCCTGCTTGTTCTGTTGATGAAGTACAGCAGTGGCTATTGCTCTTGTCAAAGGGTTAGAGCAGACATTACTGGCACACTGATCCAAAGGATTCCAGCAAGGAATTCAACAAAATCCCAATGCACACAGATTTCTGAGAAGACGAACACACGCAACATTGCAACGGGCAATGCCAGAAATGCAATCAACACGAGCGATAGCATTGACAGGACAACGGTACAGGACCCAAAAGGACAAGACGAGACATCCAAAAGGGTGCGCGTGGGAAAGACAAACAAGGCAAACGTCTCGACAACGATCATAAATTATGTGTGGGCATGAAAGGATGCACATACACACACAAAAAGGACAATGCAGCACAATTATTGATTGCAACAAGAAGTTAAAAACCTACACACACACACAAACACATCTTTTTGTTGACTGCCTGGCAGTCGAGCAAAATTGCAAAACAATCGCACAAAAGTCAAAGGATTGCAGGACTTGTGTAATTTATTGGATGGCGACTGACCAGCACACAATTCTCTGACCAGCATGGCGTACAGCTGCCCCGCACACCTACCCACACACACACACACACACACACATGCACACACACACCACAACTATGTTCAGCCCCCGTTGCGAGCGACGGCCGCTTCACGTGGTCAACCTTTTCACATCCTTTGAGTTGCTGCAGTCCTTTTAATTACGAATTTATGTAGCATGGCCAAATGGCAAACAGCGCGGCGAATCGAATACATTTGACTGCTAATAATCACGCGGCGGCAGCGCAACGAAAGGATGCAGGGATATGTAAAAGGATATGTTGCATATGCATGTGGATATTTGGGTCAGTCCTGCAGCGAAAGTGTGTGCTAGGATTTTACATCAACATATGTCGTTCATAAATCAAAGGCGGTGCGCCAGTGGCTTTTTAGGCAAAGTGTGGCGTATCCTTCGGGCAGGACTTTGTCAAGCAAGTGTTTGGGGCGCGCCAAAACGAAAGCAACAGTTTTGTGATTGATTAGCCTCACAGTGGTACTAAAACTGTGGATCCAAACTGTTTTAAACAACTTTGGAGAGTCTTGAGCTAAGATTCCTATAACTAAGATTCCTTAGCTACTCGTTAATGCAGAATACTATCTTTTTGAACATCATTAAAATTGAAATGATTGTAAGAATGATTTATGAAACAGGCAGCGGTAATTTGAAACCAAACCAAATGACTTATCTGCTCAAAATATTTACTAGCGTTGATTAGAATAGTACGCTTTGCTTCCTTCCGCGACCAAAACCCATCTGCGCAACCATAGGAACACACAGGATGTGCCAAAGGATCAACGGCTACAGCTCGAGCACTTGAAGCACTACCAGTCGGTTTCGGACAGCCGGAGCTCCATGCACTTGCGACAGGATATGTTGGGTTATTAATGAAGTATTGGACATTCAAGTAGCGTGTGAAAATAGAAGTGGAGTATTCCGACATTTAGTTAGTGTAAGAGAGTATAAAATTGAGGATTCTGCTAGGAGGTTTTAGGGGTACGGTTAATTCCTGTACGGTTACTTAAAAGCTTACTTAATTGAGATCCCAATACTTTTACAACCTTTGAGAAACAATAGAAATTTAGTAGTAAACTATAAAAATAGACTGTTATGAGTAAGTCCAGAATTTCGTACTATAGCACAACCAAGAAGCTTATGTAAGTAAAAAATTTAATCAAACTATTTCAAATGATGGAACATAAAACCCATATAATAGCAAAATTAAATTATAATTGTAAAACAAGCTTCAGTTGCCCCCAAACTTTCGGCATTGTAAACTGTAAGAGAGAGGCTTTAAAACCTTCGGCGCTGAAACCGTAAATGAAGGGCTGTCATGAGGGAGTTAAGAGAGCGAATTGCACACTATAAGCAATCAAGAAGTGTATGAATGTAGTTCATGTAAGTATATTAATAAATGTACTTATGTATATCTTAAATAATTCAACAATTAATTTAACATAGGCATTGGAAAACAGTTGGCCACATGTGCCTCACATTTTCGATACCACAAAGCAGAAAAAATGCCAAACACACACACACACACATGCATGTCCAACTCTTTTCGTCGTGTGTGAGTGTGCAGGTATCGGTATCAAGTCTCTCTTAATTTCTCCTTTCTTTAGTTGTTCTCGTGTTGTTCTTTGCGTTTGTGGTAAACGCAAAACTATTGCAAAATTAATTGTTTTCGGCTTAAATTGAAAATGTAAAGTGAATTAAACGTTTATTGTATGTTAAGATTGTGTTTTGTGTTGCAAAATAAAGGCGTTTGTAGAATCAATGTGCCTCTCAGCCTAAAAAACAAATTAATGGAGTGATGCTTGTGCAGGTATTGGTATCAAGCCTCTCCTAATTTCTCCTGTCTTTGTTGTTCTCGTGTTGTTCTTTGCGTTTGCGGTAAACGCAAAACTATTGCAAAATTAATTGTTTTCGGCTTAAATTGAAATTAAAATGTGAAGTGAATTAAACGTTTATTGTATGTTATAAATAAAGGCGTTTGTAGAACCAATGTGCCTCGCAGCCTAAAAACAAATTAATGGAGTGATGCTTGTTGCCTTATTTATGGCGCGCTTACTATGCATGTATGTATGTATGTATGTATGTACTTACATATGTTTTTCAATTTTAATGTTGACATTATTTTGCTTTTTTAATGAAACGATGTAAATTGGTTATGAAATTATCAAAAACATCTTAGCATTATCGACTTTCTAAAGCCCCCTCCCACATATAGAATTTAATTACACCCATACATGTGTGCATGTACAAGTATGTATGTACACATGTCTACTGCACCTGGTAGGGAAGACTACGATCTATTCGGTCCTACTATTAAATCGACAATTTACAAAATCTAGTAAAAGGTTTTCATTGGCATAGATGCTTTCTCATGCAATTATCTGGGACGGATCGTTAGTTTGTTATTTTATGGATATTTTTTTCCCATTTTAAATGCAATTTAAAGACATCTTCATGTACGAGTATAGTTGAAATTTGTCCTTGCGACGTTTCCGCAGCGGCTTCGATCCAATCCTATTTGTCTTCCTTTTCAAAGGCGTCCCGCTGCCCTGGTAACTCGAAGGCTCCGCCTAAACAGAGTCCCGCATTCGAGCGCACCACCCTCTGTTCAACTTAAAGCTAATAAACTCCAAGCACATGAAAGCGAATACCTTGTCCCAATGCCTACTCCCCATAAATGAGAAACAACATACACACAAAAAATGGCAAAAAATGCAACAAGAACAAAAAAAAAAACAAAATAAAATAACGAAAAAGAAAGAAAATGAAAGCCCACTTTCCTTTTCATTACAAGTAAAGCGAGCAGCGCGCATTGTCCTAGCGAAAGGACATTCATTGAAAAACAAGCAGCTCCCAGAAATCAGATTCGGCGTAAAAAAAACACAGGCTAAAACAAGCCAAATTCCATGCCGCACCCATGGGCCTCAAATGAAAGTTAACAAAGCATCAAATAACAAGCAGAGCTCCCCAATCCTGGCGACGGCTTCGACAGGACGCTTCAAAAGCAAAGGGTATCCTAGCGACGAGGCCTGCTGGCCGGTCGCTTGGGCAGGAAGTTCAACAGCTTAAAATTGTAAAGAACGCTGCTTCATCTTCAATGGCCCACTCAAAATCACCTGAGAGGCAGGACAAACAGGACATGGAATTGTGTGTGTATGTGTCTCTGTTTGTCTGAGTCCTGCGGCGTATGTGTAAAGCAGGACAGCCCACGGCTTGAAGTGTGTCAAGCAAGAGCGACCCAACATTTTCTTCGAAAAAACGTCCAGCCGTTTTTTTCCGTTTTTTGTTCATTTGCTCCACAAGGACACGC